GAGTCAGCCAATGAGGCCGTGAAGCGAATGCACAAGTTCCACACTCAATTTCCATGCGCCATGAATTCCTTTGATGGATTTGCAATCAACCCAATTAAAATTCTTTCTTAATTAGTGTGCCCTAACAAAAATCAGCAAAATTATTACTTATTATCGATATGAGTAGTTTTCGAGATTTTTATTTAAAAGTTATTACAGAGTGGGCAACAATAATTGAAAAAAACAAATTTTTAAGAGAAAAAACGTGAACATATTTTTACCACGATATCTCATAGTTGGCAGAATAATGTCATATTTTAAGGGCTTAATTAAATCTCATTAAGGACAGCACAAAATGAGGCCAAGTAAAAAGCCTCGATTTGATATTTATTATATTGAGGCCCTTTTATTAAAGGTATAAGGTGCAGCTTAAAGATAATAAATAAATATAGTTTTTAAAGATGAAGTTAGTTCTTGCCAATTTAGAAATGTATTCAGATATGTAATATACATATATCAGGTAATAATCATATATAAAAAATGATGAATAACCTTAATTTATATTATATATTAGCATATATTATATTATATATATATGTATATGTAAGCATATATATAAATAGACTAGGCTGCTCAAGGCAATTTAAGGACTGATGTGGTAGTATTTATTGCCTTTCAACTACTCAAGTGTATTTTTCAGCCAGAATAATCTGCATTTTCGACCTTGCCAACGAAATTCTAAACCGGATAGTGACCCAGACAACTAATGGGGGGGGTTAGTGGGTTGTCACGGGGCAGATGTGGCTTTGAAGACAGGACAGGCCCAGTTCAAAACAAATTATAAAGTGTGTTTATTATTGAGGCTTACGTATTTTTTTGATTTATTTGTAGGCCGAGAAGGGAATTTTCTTCTCATATCAAAGAATTCAGTTGTCTGTTGAATCACATCGCCTCAGCTCCGTCGAGCTGACGAGCAGAGGCACGGATTGGCCTGAACTTGATCTTAGAGCTCAGTTGGGCACCGAAGAATAGGCAGCATTTTTGGTGCAATAATAATTTGTTTAAAAGGCTAATCTTCGTACTATTTTGCAACATACAGCATACTTTCGGCCAAATCTGTGCCCATTCAGTGAACACTTGTCCCCTCCTGATGCCAAAGCAAATACACACAAACAATTAGACAAAGGTCCACCGGTACCAACGGATAGAATTGGC